ATGAAAGAGAAACACACAGGGATACACTGATTTAGTAGCCGGATCACGATGCACCCGGTGGCCTGAGCACAGATCTGAGGCATTTCCAGCCATTTTTGGGGGGCAGAACAAACGCACTCCAAGCACCCAAGAGGACACAGCCAGGGTTGAGGACAGTAGGAGATGAGCTACCCTCCTCGTGGGGCTGGGAGACAGGCCGTGGAGACCTCAGGACAGACTCTGCTCCACTCCCCCCTTCCCACGCACCCCTCTCCATTCCCATCAAAGTGCAAGGCTGTGTCCTCTCTAATTTAGTAATAATGCAAGATGCTACCTCCACACTCCCCACATGGCCGGGGAGTAATTGGCAGCATCCCTACAGCCTGGACGCTCAGCACCCCACAACCCTGTACCCCCACCCCATCTTGATAATCTTCAAATAGTTTTCAATAGTAAGTCTTCACAACAGTGCGCATACATTCTTTATACTCAGAGACCAAAGTCAAAAGCAAAATTCTAAAACCAGAGTCAGCCACAGGAATTCAAAGTTTCAAAGGAACGATTACAAGAGTTTCCGTCAAGGAATGGCTGCACATTCCACGACCACCTGTGGCCACACCTGGAAGGGCTGGGCAGGGACAAGAGCTTCCGGTCAGGTAAATCCTTCCAGTCAGGATTTACCTGGGGGTTTACAGGACTAGCTCCTGCACGTAGTAGCTTTACCAGGGAAATCATCTCCAGGTTACCTTCTTGAAACTCTGGGTAATATAATCAAGGAGAACGGAAGGAATTACACACAGTGTGTAACACAGAAATTACGCGGCCGAGAACAAGGTGGGCCCTCGAGGCCCAGGGCAGCTTCAAATATGACTTCTTCTGGCATTTGGATGTTTCAACTGCAGAGGCTTGCACGTGTACACGTACACACACACACACACACACTCACTCTGAAGCAGCAGGTAGCAGGATGGTAGCGGTAAAGGGGTTATTTTCCTCTGCATCCAAGTTTGAACAGAAACCCACAACACGTCATTGTATGCACCACGTCTCTGTGACAAACACAACAGCACATTCCTGAGATGAATGAAAAGGGACAGAAGGGACTTGGGGGTGGGGAGAAGCGGGAGGGACGGGCCTGCAGTGGGGTCCAGCGGAGAGGGCTGGGCTTACGCAGGCTCCAGATCCCGGCCGGTTTGCTCTGACAGCGGCTCTCGCAGGCGCATCAGGGACCACCTGCCAGGGAGACCCCGGCTCTGCATTTGGGGTGAGCTCACCCCACCCCTGAAAGCCCCGGCCTCAGAGGCCAGGTTTGGGTACAGAAAGCGAATGTGGTGCTTAGAAAGTGTGATTCTGCACCGAGAACAGAAACAGAGCTGCAGTCCGACCCTACAGCCTGGACGCTCAGCACCCCACAACCCTGCACCCCTGCCCCACCTTAAAAGTCAAAGACTAAGCCCTGTGAGAAGAAGCGATGGCTGAGAAAATCACCCCTATTGGCTCTGGGGGCCGCTTGCCCAGGTGCCCCCAACCCTGGGCAGGTCTGGTTCAGCAGGGAGGGGTCAGGGCCTCAGGGAAGGCGGGGACAGCCGGCCCCTGCCCCGTCTCTCCGAGCCTGGGGCAGGATGGGGCCAGGGGCCACGGGGGCGCACATCAGCCCCGTGCCCGCTCCGGGGCTCGCACCTCTCGGCCACCTCACCTTAAGATCGCCAACGGCACTGTCGCGGGGCTGTGCACCCCAACTGTTGGCGACTTTTGGAGACGCCGCAGCCTGCGGGACACGGCGCTCCCCGACGGTGCTCGCCCCGGCCCGGCGCCCCCCGGCCGCAGCCTTCGGGTTCAGAGGCGGGAGCGGAGCGCCCGGAGGATGCGCAGGGGCACCTGTGCGGGGAGCGGGCCACAGGGCGGCCCGGCCTCACCTGTGCGCCCCAGCCTCGGCTCTGCTGGGGTCCTGACACCGAGCGTCCACGGAAGCTCCAGCTCGGGTTCCGCTGCGCTCCGGGCTCTTATCTTGTCGCCGGGACCCGCCCCGCCGGCCACCGGGGGCGCTCACCCGCCCTGGCTCCGCCTCCGTGCCGCCCCGGGTGGGCGGAGGACGAGCCCGGACGCGCCCCCGAGCCCCGCCCCCCGGGACCCGACCGCCGGCGCCAGTCAGCGGCCAGCAGCGCGCTCTGCCCGAGGCCTCGCGCGTCCCGGAACCTGGGGCGAGTGGCAGCAGGGTCCCCTCTGGGTCCCAGGCCTCGCAGGACAGAGACGGGCGGTTTTCCGTCTCCTTCCCACTCGAGCTTGCGCCCCCCCGGGGCTGCCCCGCGCATCTGCCTGGGGCGGGGGCTCCCCTGGCCCACCCGGCGCTCCGCCCGGGGAGGAAGCTGGGCGGCGGGCGCGCGGGGCACAGCGCGGGATCCCGCGGGGCCGAGCCGGGTCTTGCCTCCCTCCCCCTCTCCTGCCCACTCTCCCTCTTCCCGCCGCTGCCGCAGGGGCCGCCTTCCCGATGCTGCACCGACCCCTCTCCCCAGACGTCGGTTCCGTCCGTTCCTCCCGCCGCGGCCGCCCATCCCGAGGTCTGGCGCCCTGGGGGCATCTCCTCCACCAGCCGGTCCCACTCGAGTTGGGCCGGCCTGGGGGCAGGGATCCTGCGTCTGGCGTTTGGGGTCCTGTGGGCGTCCCTAGCCGGGCCGCGGAGACCCCGCCCGGGTCTCTGCCTTCTCTCCTCCGGTCTTGCGCCCCGGCCGCGAGGTACCCGATCCTCGCCCGGATCCGGGCTGCGGGGACGGGGGTCCTTCTGCGGCCCGAGAGCCGACACCCCGCAGGACCCAGTGTCCGCGCGCGTCAAGCAAGGAGCGAAGCGTCGTCGCGCTTTGCCCACATGGAGCGCGAATCGACTGGAACCAAGGGGCTCGAATCACACTCGCATCGGAACACGATTTCCAGGGACAGCCCGGAAAGCCGCAGCTGTCGATACTGGCTCAGGACGGACTGATTCGGAATCATTGCTGAGATGACCCCCAGCAAGACTGCACATTCACGATGCGGAGGAATGGAGTCCCCAGACCACCAAGCAGGCCCAGGACCCACAGGTGCAGGACAGCATCAAGGTAGGTGGCACCCTGGCTCTGCACGTGGTGGAGGCCCTGGTGACCCAAGCCTGGGCCGTAACCTACCCCTCCCCACTCCGTGTAAGCTTTGATTTTCCTGTCCTGCGCTGGCTGCAGAGGGGCGTCCACGCCAGCTGCTCTCCACTCTGTCTGGGCCGTATGTCCCTCCTTGGCGGTGCCACAGAAGCAGTGTCCCTGTACCAGGGGCCCGCAGAGCACCCTGGCTCATCTCACTGCCCCTCCGGCAGCCTCCCCACCAGGGGCTGGTGCCCAGGACAGGGCTGGTACCTGGTACCGGGGAAGCACTGGCAGGGGCTGCTCTTCCAGGCAGGACTGGGATCCATGGAAGAACCCACGACTCAGGGTCCCGGCTTCCGCTGGCTATGCTAACAAAAACGCCACAGACGGGGCAGCTTACGAACATGGAAGTATTGGCTGGAAATCAAGTCCTCACATGGCAGAAGTGCTCTGGAACCACCTTTATAAGAGCACTGGTGCCACCCATGAGGGCTCAGCCCCTGTGACCTGACCACCTCCCAGAGGCCCGACTCCTAGGACCATCGCACGGGGGTTAGGGTTTCAACATGAATTCTGGGGACGCCATTCATTCGTACACCCGGGGAGGGGGCAGGGATTTCAGAAGATGGTGATGTGCCACCTTGAATCTGTGACCAGTGGCCATCACAGCAGGCGGGCTCTCCCCACAGATGCTCCACAATGTGTTTCAAGCAAGAGGAGTGGTCCTAGGTTTGGGCCTAATGGACAGGGTCACAGGAACACAGAGCAGAGCCAGTGAGCTCAGATGTGTATGTTAAAAGCACACATACTAGGGCTTCCCTGGTGGCGCAGTGGTTGAGGGTCTGCCTGTCGATGCAGGGGACGCGGGTTCGTGCCCCGGTCCGGGAAGATCCTACATCCCGCGGAGCGGCTGGGCGCGTGAGCCATGGCCGCTGAGCCTGCGCGTCCGGAGCCTGTGCTCCGCAACGGGAGAGGCCACAGCAGTGAGAGGCCCGCGTACCGCCGAAAAAAAAAAAAAAAGCACACATACTAGATGGAAACACCTGGGAAGCAGAGCAAACCCTGCCGGGGCCGGGGAGGTGGGAGCAGCTGTGGCTCAAGCCCAACAGCGAACCTGCACCGAGGAGAAGAGTCCTGCGTGCGTCCAGGAGCACCGCCCCCCCCCCCCCCCCCCCCCCCCCCTCTCTTTTAACGGTGACTCAGGATGAAGATCCCGGGTGCTCTGGAGCAGAATGACGTGGGAGCTGGGCCTGCAGCCTGGCCGCAGAAGACAGAGCAGGCAGCTGCCCGGCTCCTGTGCACCTCCATTGCCCCCGGCAGGGTCCTCCCTGTCGGCACCTCCATCGTCCCCGGCAGGGTCCTCCCTGTCGGCTCCTGTGCGGGTGGAACCTGTGGGGTTAGAGCTGATTAAACGCCGGGCCTTCGCATGCTTGGAACTTTGCCCAAGGTTTATTATTGGCGTGGCTGCTGTTGGCTCAGAGCCCTGGATGGACGAAGTATCTCAGAGTATTGTCCTGCCGACCCTCAGGGCAGTCGCTCGCTGTCTGCTGTGGAGCCGTTGCAGCCGCAGAGCCCGTGGGGGGGCCCAGGGGAGAACCCGGGGCTCTGGCTGCCAGCTGCTGACCCCAGAGCGGCTCTGCCCCACTGGTGACACCCATCTGGGTGCCGCCAACTGAGGAGGTCGCTGCTGGACGTTGCCCTGTGTCCTGTCTCGAGCAGCCTGCTTCACCCTGACTTGGAAGGCAGCGTGGGTGCTCCCCCGACAGGTGGCCCATCCACGGGAGGACAAAGGCCACGCGCTGATGTCAAGGCCTTCGAGGTTCCCGAGAGGCTGGAGCCATGGTGGATAAACGCAGAATTCTATCCGCGCTTCAGAAAGCCACCTGCAGGTGAGGCCGGGGTAGTGGTGCCCGGTGAGCACAGCAGTCCAACAGCAGAGGGGAGGTGCTTCTTCATCCCCAGATGCACGTCTGTCAGGAGGTGCCTGGCTGGAGGGCCGCCACCCCGAAGCTCTGTTAGGAAGAGCTGGAGAGCTCAGGTGTCACCACACTGGTGATGGGGTCGGTCCCCGGCTAGGTTTCAAGAGTGATTGCCATAACTGATGGGGTGGCTTAAACGACAGAATAGCATCCTCTGTCTGTTCTGGAGCCAGAAGTCTGAGATCAAGGCGTCGGCAGGGCTGCCTCCTTTCGAGGACTGAGGGGGAGTCTGTTCTAGGCCCCCCTCCAGTTTCTGGGGGTTTGCTGGCATCCTTGGCGTCGTTGGCTTGTAGAAGCATTGCCCCATCTCCACCTTCATGCTCACATGGTGTTCTCTGTGTGTGTGCGCGTGTGCGTGTGTGTGTGTGTGTCTGTGTCATGTTGGATCGGGGCCGGACCTAATGCTCCATTTTAGCTTGATTAGCTCTGCAAAGACCTCAGCTCCAATTAAGGCCACATTCTGAGGTCCTGGGGCTTAGAATTTCAACATCTGAATCTGGGGGCACAGTTCAACCCACAACAAAGAAGAACCTTAACAGGGCCGTTCTCGAGGGGAGCAGCTTAGAACATGTCAGAGCCTCCCGACACGTGGTCCCAGCGGCTCAGACTAGTTTAACCTGGACGTGCAAAGTCTTGGAGGGGGAGGAGTGCGGTGCAGGAGAGCTGGCTTCAGGCGTCCTGCTGCTTCCAGGGAAGAAGGGACTCTCGGGGGCGGTGCCAACAGAGGGTGAGAGAGGATGCCCTGCTCAGGGCACTGGCAGGGCACTTGGGGCTCAGTTCAGGCCTCGTTCCCTCTGGCTTTGCTTTAGACGTAAGGGGCCAAGCAGAACCGTGGTGCTTGGACCCTCACTGGGCGCTGGGCTCGGAGCCCATGGGAGCACCTCTGCTACAGCTCCCTCGCCCTTTCTGACCCTACGCTGCTGCAGGCATCGACACCAGACCAGGATGCCAGGGCTCCAGGTGGCCGGACAAGGCCTCACCACAAGTTCACAGGTCACACGACGTTCGTGAGGTGGCCCAGCCTCCGTTCTCCCCTCTGCTTGCTGACCACCCTCACACGGTGCGAAAGGGACCGAAATAATGATCGCTTCCGGCAGTGACCCTCAGGGCAGCGCCGGGCTCTGTGCTCAGCGGCCTCCTGCGCTCAGAGGGTCCTGGCCACACTGGCCTGGCTTCTCCTCACCGAGGGACAAAGGGCAGCGAGCAGACAGAAAGAAAAGCCGCCAGCAGCCTGGGAGCGCCCCCGGGCACTCCGTGCTGCTGTGGCCATCTGTCCGGATAGATGCTTGGACCCTGCACCCCAAGCTCCCCACGTGCCGAGGCTGGAGCCTAGGACTGCGCTTCCCAAAGGGCTTCCATCAGGCCAGCTCAGGGTCTGCGGTGGGAAGCCCGGCCAAGCCCGCAGGGGCAGCTGCAGAGACGGAGGAGGAGGCCAGTGGGCGGGCCTGCTTCCCAAGTTATTCATAGGGTTCATTTTGAGGGGAGCCCAGAGCAGGCGGCACTGGCAAGAGGGGGCTGTGACCTAGCGCAGTTCCCAAGTCACCCGCGTAAACCCTGACCCGCACGCAAAGCAAGGATTCTGCGTCTCACCCTCAGAGACTCTGAGTCAGCAGGTCTGAGGTGGGACCTGGGGACCTGCATTCCTAACAACTTCTCGGGGGATGCCACTGCTGCTGGTTCTGGGGCCACACTCTGAGAAACACTGACCTGGCCGGACCCATGGGGCGTGGAAGATTCTGGAAGATAGAGATGCAGCGTGGAGCCCCTGGCAGCCCCTGCAGGGACTCAGTGCAAACACTTGGAGTTTTGGAGAATAACCAAACAGTCTTCTGAAAATCCTATGCTCCGTTTGAGTTAGTATACCGCTGAGCCGTAGTAGAAACTCAAAGAAATCGAGTTAGCATATAAGCTGAGCTGCCTGGCATAAATTAACCAGCCAACCCATAAAGTTTGGTACAGACAGCAACTTGCTATCACCAAGTGGAGGCAATATACACGCTTTCAGGCTCGGGCGGGTGCTGCAGACACAACTAAGCTGCAGGAACAGGTGCCCCCCTTGTTGCATCGGTATCACCCCCTTAACCCGTACCTGGGCTTCACGGGCGTTTCTTCTGACCATCTGACTGCGGAAACATGGATCCCACAGTGTACCGATCCCACCGGGGAGTGGAAGGCTGCAGCACTGCAGCCACGCTCGGAAGACACAGGGAAATCTTCCCAGTGGGCAGATACCTGAGCAGTGCACAGGGCTATTCCTTAGCCGAGAAGAAGACAGTCAGAGGTACGGGTCTCAGTGATTCTTACACATTGGCTAGTGTTTGGTTGTGTGATAAGAGAGTTCAAAGAAAATCGGGAAATTGATGACAAGACCTTTATCTGCAGATGACGTAATCACCTATGGAGACAATCTTAATGAATCTACAAAACAAAAGCTAGAATTAACAAGTGAATTTAGAAGGTCATAGGATACACAGAAATCAATTGTATTTCTACATACCAGCAGGAAACAACTATAAAGTAAAATTTAAAATAATTTCATTTACAACAGTATCCGAAACAAAATGTTTAGGCATAAAATGCGTGTGTGCAAGACGTGAATGTTGAAATCTAGACACTGCTGAAGAACTAAAAGGGCTGGAGGAAGTGGAGTGGTAAGACCATGTCCATGATCTAAAGGCTCAGTATCATTAAGATGTTAATTTCTTCCCAAACTGACTATAGATTCGACCCAGTTCCAACCAAAATTCTAACTGGCTCTTTTGAACAGCTCAACCAGTTGGTTCTAAAATGCATATGGACCCAGAGTAGCCAAAACAATGCCGAAAAAGAACGAGATTGGAGGACAAAGGAAACTTTGTAATCCCACCGTCTGCACAAAACTTAACTCTATTTTCTGTCATTATTTTGCCATTTGTGTCCTCGCTCTACAGACAGCTTTATTGGGGTTCAATCGACATACCATAAACTGCGTGGGTCTCAAGTGCACAATTTGGGAGGCCGTTTATGTGGCCATGGGACACGAGCGCCATGAGGATAATGTCCATCACACTCAGACAATCGTAGCGCTCCTGCGTATCCATCTTTATCCACCCCACCCAGGCAACCGCTTGTCCGACAGCTACAGATTCCTTTTTTCTTCCTAGGATTTTATATAAGTGGAACCTACAGTAAGGACTGTTTTTTGGTCTCTTCCTCCCACTCAGCATGTTTGAGCTGAATCTGTGTTGTTACACGAATCAGTGAATTCCTTTTTGTTGTGGAATGGCTGGGTCATTTGGTTGATGTGTGTTTAACTGTTTTTAAAAACAGTCAAGTTGTTTTGCAAAGTGGTGATACTGTTTGACGTTTCCAAGGACAGTGCAAGAGTTTCCATTGCTCCACGTCCTTGGCAACACTTAGAATGGCCGGTCTTTTAAATTTTAGCATTCTAATAAGTGTGCAGTAGTATCTCATTACCGTTTAAATTGGCATTTCTCTAATGACAGTGTTTTAGCAGTCCTTCATGTGTGTGGTTGCCATCAGTATCACTCCTTGTCAAGTGGACGTTCAAATCTTCTGCACATTTGGGTTGTTTGTTTGTTATATTATTATTGAGTTTTGAGGGTTCTTTACATATTCTGGATACAAGTCCTTTATCAGGTGCTTTGTAAATATCTTTCCCAATCTTGGATTGCCTTTTCATTCTCTTAATAGAGCCTTTTGAAGAACAGAAGTTATTAATTCTGATGAAGCCCAACTTATCAAATTTTTAAATGAGTCCTGCTTTTAGTGCCATATCTGAGAAATTTTTACTTAACCCAAGATCACAAAAATTTTCACAAAAAAAGTTTTCCTCTAAGAGTTTTAAAATTTTAGGTTCTACCCTTATGTATAAGATCCACTTAAAATTACCATGGTGTAAGGTATAGATCAGTTTCATACCCTTGTCCTATGGGTCATTGGGAGAGAAGTGTTGAAACCTTGAGGCACAGCCATGTGGGCTGGTCTTATAGTCCCTGTGGTTCTGCTGTCTTTGCATGGTTCATGTGGAAGCTCTCTTAGGGTTGCCACGGCCTACTGGGAGCTGAATCCTTACTGTGAAATGACCTCTCTTACACCCGCTGACCACTTGGGCTCTGAGATCAACGTTTACCCTACCTTCTTTTGATGGAGTTGGCACTGTCCTTTTCCTTTTGGCCCACTGGTGGCCGGGTAAAGTGTGCTTCTTGCAGGCATCTTGTGGTTGGTTCTTGCTTCTACGTCCAATCTGACGATTTCTGCTGACCGATTGGGGTGTTTGACCATTTACATTGAATGTACTGCTGATACCGTTGGGTTAAATCTACCGTCTGCTACACTGTGCCCTCTGTCCCCCTTTACCACCGTTCCTGCTGTCCTTCAGACTGAGTTTTCAAGTCCCACGTTCTGCTTCCCCTGTTGGACTCTTAGCCGTATCTCTTTGCTGTGTCATTTTCGTGTCACCTTCAAGTGGCATCACACTGCTGTACATGTCATTAGGACGGACCTGGGGCCACTTCTAGTCACCCCTCCCGGCCTCTGTGCCATTGTCACCTATGTGTTATGAACCCCAGAATGCATTGTCAGTTTTACTTTAGATACTCAATCACCCTTTACAGAGATTTAAATGATGAGAAACAAGTGTTTCTACTTACCCACATGATTCCAGCTTCTGAGCCTCCTCAGGCCTCTGTGTGGGTCCAGATTTCAGAATGGAATCACTTTCCTTCTGCTGTAAGGACTTACTTTCACACACTGTGTAGTGAGGTCTGCCAGCCAGTGACAGGTTTTTTTAGCTTTTGTGTCTAAAAAACCTTTTTATTTCTCTGTTGTGAAAGCTATTTTTGCCGAGTGAAGAATTCTGGGTTGACCGTGTTCTTTTTCTTTGCGCATTTTATGGACGTTGCTTCACTGGCTTCTGTCGTTCTGATGAAGAATCTGCTCTGTGCACATGGTTGTGTCCTTTTCCTCTGGTGGCTGACCTTCTCTTTATCATCTATTTTAAGCATTCGATTACTATGCTCCTGGTGTGTTTCCTCCATGGCGCTTGTGCTTGGAATTCATCGAGCTCCTTGGACCCAGGGGTTTATAGTCTGTACTGAATTTGGGAAAGTATTTCTTCAAAAATTTTTGTTTGCCCTTGGGACTCCAGTGGTGCATATATCGGGCGACTCGAAGTCTCACACTCACTGCTGCTCTGTGCAAATTTTGGTCTTTTTTCTCTATTTTGTTTTGAACAGTTTGTGCTGCTGCTCTTCACGTTCACTTGCTGTCTCCTCTGTGATGCCAAAGCCACCCTTAATCCCAACCAGGGTATCTTGCGTCACAAACATCGTAGTTCTTACCTGCAGAATTTAGATTTGTGTCTTTTAAAAGACACCTGTCATGTCTTAACTACACATGGTTAGTCTTGCTTCCAGCTAGCTTTTGAACACGGATTTTGCATAATGATTGTCAATGCCTTCATCTACTAATTCCATCACCCGAGTCACTTCTGGGTCTGTTTTCGTTGATTATAGATCATCTTTCCTGCTTTTTTGCATCTAGGTGACCTCTGATGGGATGCAAGTCATTGTGAATTTGACCCCTTGAATGCTGGGTAGTTGTATATTCCTCTGAATATTCTCGAACTTTGGGCTGCAGGTAAGCTACTTACAAAGAGTTTGGTCATTCTTTCAGGTCTTGCTTTTAAGCTTTGTGTAGCAAGACCAGAGTGGAGTTTGGCCGAGGGGTTACGACTTCTTCACGACTCAGGCAAAACCCATCTGAGTTTCCACCCGAAATCCCCTTCCAGGATGGCAGCCTCTGCCCCTCCATCTTGACCAAAAGCAAAATTGTGGACTCATTAACGTTTATTAAGTTGAAAAGAACTAATCAGAGCCCGAGCAGCTCTTGACAATCCTGTGGTAGACCCCTGCCAGACTCTCGTGTGGCTGGGGGGCCACGGAGGTCGGTTCTGCCCCTGGAATATGGGCGGCTTCCTTTGGATGAGAGAACATACACTGTACGATTTAAATATTTTGAGATTTACTCTCGAGCCAAGCATGGAGTCTATTTTGCCAACTGCTTCATGTGCATTTTTAATGGCAATGAAATCAATTTGGTAAACAGGGTTTTTCAAATTTTCTACAAAACTGTGCTTCTTTCCCTGGTGGTTCTGTAGACTACTGAGAGAATTGTGTGAAAATCTCCAACTATGTTTGCTGATTTATTTATTGCCTCTTTTCATTCTGTCTATGTTTGCTTAGTATATTTCAAGGTACGTCACTGGGGATGTACCCCTTTAGGATGACTGTGTCCTCGGGTGACCTGAACCCTTTACGGCTCTACAATGTTTGTCTTTGACACCGTAATCCTTCTCGTCTTAAAGGTCACTTACTGTGATATTATTGATCCTGCTACATCAGCTGTCTTGTGGTTATGTTTGCACATTACATATATTTCCGTTTTTTGTTTTTTTTTTAAACTTTCAACATGTGTTTAAACAGCATATAGTCCGGGTGTTTTGTTTGCTTTTTAATTTGGTCCAGCAACTGTCATGTAGGCGTTTTTAGTCTATATTTAATGTAATTACTGGTACGGTTGGATTTAAGTTTACCACTTGCTGTTTCTTTTCTAGTTGTAGCATCTGTCCTGTCCTTTGTTCTTTATTTTTTTCTTCTTACTTTCCTGCTTAGTCTGGGTGAGATTATTACTTTAAACTATCCCATTTTATTTATCTGTAGGCTTATTAACTAGTCATACCTCTGTGTTTTTATTTTGTTTTCTCTGAAGGCTTGCACCGTTTTCACGGTCTCTGTTTAAATAACACTCATTCTTTCTGCAGGGCCAGGTTTCCACATGCATGTCACTCTTACCTTTGTTCCATGATAATATTTTCTTTTTCTCTGGCTGCTTTTAAGATTACCTCTTTACCAGCGGCTTCCAGAATTTTTTGTAACGTGCCTTTTGCCATATTTTTGTTATATTTCTTCTGCTTGTGGCGAGTTGAGCTTCTTGGATATCTGAGCTGTTAGATTTGGGAAAACTCCGGCCGTTATTCTGTCCAATAGTTTTTTCTGTCCTAACCTCCCCTTCCCTGGGCCTCCCATCACCTGTGATAGGACCCTTGGTGTTTCTTTCGGTCAGCTTTCTACCCAGTCTGTGCTCCATTGGGCCCACACATTGCTACATGATGGTGTTTTCTCTGTAGTGTGTATCTCAGGTGCTACATGGTGCTACATCGTGGTGTTTTCTCTGTAGTGTGTATCTCAGGTGCCCCTGCCCAGGGCGAGATGAGGCTGGTGGCTATGGGCCTGCCTCTCTTCCCAGCCGACCCAGCGAGTACAGCATGGCAGGGGACGGAGGGGCTGGGTGAAGCACGGATGCCCACCCGGAGCCGAGCGACCAGAGCAGCCCCGGCTGGCGTGGCCGGGCTGGGCCCCGCCTTGTCAGACACGGGCCCAGGACTCAGCTCCCGGTGCGGCCCCTTCTCTGGGCATCAGCTTGCTCGCACCGGACCCCCGTCCTCGAGGGGAAATGCTTGTCGTCATCCTGATGCTCTTGTGCCGGGGGTGGACTTCCTTCCCGCCCCTGCGGCTCTGGCGGCATGGCCTGCGGACCTCACTGGCGGCTGACTCCCCGCCGCCCACCTCCTTTTACGTCAAGAAGGGATTTATCTTACTGCAAGGGAAGCCTGGCAGCTCTGAGCGAGCCCCCATCAGAAACCGCTGGCCTGACGGGAGGAGAAACGACTTCTGACGCTTCAGAGACCGGGGTCCGTCCTAATGGGGTGCCCCTGTGGCATGCAGGCTGTGCTTCGAGCTGGTCGCGCACAACGCACGTCCGCGACACCCGGGGGCCCGTGGGAACGCTCTTCTCACCCTCACGGCCGGTGACCGCGGGGTGTGGCCTGTGTGATTCTGCGTCTGTGGGATGCCCTAGCCTGTGGGACTCGGGTGCCACGTGCTGCGCTCCGGCCGGGGAGATGTGAGCAGGGGTAGGGTTTTATTTCCGTGCAGAAGCGTAGGGCTCTCCTCTTCCCTGTGCGTCCGCCTGGCTGGACCCGGGAGAGAGGCTGCGCTGGCAGACGGGGACGCGCGGGGACAGGCGGCTGGAGCTGCCCCAGGACAGGTGAGCGAGGGGTAACCTGTCGCTGCCCTGAATCTTGGCCCGAGAGCCAGCCACATGCTTCTGCTCTCTTCTCTGCAGCTCTGGGCTTGTCCGTCTTGAGGGTCTCCGTTCCGCTGGATGAGACACTCCTACTCGGGACACCGCGGAGCCTCCGCGCTGCAGGTTCAGATGGCCACCAGCCGTTGGGCTCCTCCGGCTGGCGACGTGACAGGACCGGGGGTGTCACGGGTGCTAACGGCAGCAGGGGAAGGGGGCCCGGGGCTCCTCTGGGTGCTTCTCTGCACTTTCAGGACAAATCCTGTGACCAGCAGAGGCAAGACCACAGGCTCCGGATACTTTGGAGTGAAAATGTGAGTCGTCTCACTGGGCAAAGACCCAACCGTCCAAGGTGTGGTGGGGGCCACAGGACAGGGGACGGGGGAGGGGGGATGGGGGAGGGGGGAGGGGAGGGAGGAAGGAAGTCGTAAATACTGGCCTCAGCCACACAACCGGCCCCGGAAGTGAGGACGGCAGCGCCCTTGCAGCCGCCTTCCTGCCTGGCGTGTGTGTGTGTGTGTGTGTGTGTGTGTGTGTGTGTGTGCCCTCAGTTTACAGAGGGAACGGCAGTGTTGAGGAGCGGGCACTTTGGGAACTAGGGAAAACCTAGTTTTCCGTGTGACAGAGCATCGAGCGGTGTCTGCCAGCACCAGAAGAGTGAACATTTCCGGGATGGATGCGAGGGTCCCCGGGATCTTACTTTCTGGGAGGAGGCGGAGCCTTTGCGTTTGCAGAAGTGACCATTACATCACGTGTGTCACTCCCTCGCGGGAAGGAGCGAGGATGGGCCCTGCGTGGCTGGAGGGACGGGCTGTCCTGGCCACTGGCCGCCTGCTGCTCTCGGCGGCATCCCCACGTGTAGCGCTCTGCCCCAGGAGGGGGCCGGGGTCTGCCACTGTCCCACTGGCTGGAAGGCTTCCGGCCGGATCAGCAAATGGGGGCAGGGGGTTGGGCAGAGGTGAACCTTCTGCTTCTGTAGGAATCGCCACCAGGAACACCTTGAGCGCCCACCACTCCTTAACACCCGTCCCCTCTGGGGCGCTGGGAACCCCCAGAAGCCGCGGCAGGCCCCAGGGCAGTGTGCCCCCCCCCCCCCGCCCCCACCGCAGCTCCCAGAGGCTGCTTGTCCCCTTCCTTCGACTGGGAAGCTGTGTCCAGCTTTGAATGTGAAATGTCCAGACCCTGGCTTGCTTTGGCCCTTTTTTTTACTTAAAGACTTGAGCAAACTTTAACCAATTTCAAAGGCAACACCCATTTGTTATGTTAGGAAGGGCCAATGCCTACCCCTGTTGGTGCATGAATGTCATTGTGGTGCATTTCGTCCGCCGCCGCCCCGATGGGGTCAGACCACGGGCTCCCTCTCCGGCTTCCCTGACTTACGACATGAACACGATGCTAAGTGTCACTCCATCCGGAAGCCGCTGGCTACACAACCTCAATTTTCTCCTCTACAGTTTTTGGGACTGCAGTACATTAGCTCTTTCTTTCACTTCTATTTCTAAATCCTTCACTGACTTAATAGGACGAATTCAAGATTCCTGTCTCTCTCCGCTCAACTAAGCATACGTAGAAGGTGCGTGTTTCGCAGAGAAATTATAGAAACCAACTCAGCAGGTCGGCAAACAGCCTACGAGGTTGAGTTCTGTGAGACGTCAGCCGCTGTCTGCGTGCCAGCGAAACCTCCGACCCTCCCTTTGCCATCCAGAAAGCTTTTTCTACAGAAGTTCAATTACGATGCTTCCCCAACGTCCTAGAAAAGCACTAAGGAATCTCAGCGGGACTGGTTCTCCTGTCACAGCCTGTGTCACGTCTGCTGTTGTCTTTCTGATGAAAAAAACCGCACATAACAAATATGTCCTCAAGTACATAAGACTTTGCGTTTTATTCGTTCCATTGAAAACCCCGAGTTTGTTGGGAGGCACCCGTCCCACCCCCTCGCGCCCGGCAGGGCCTCTGCAGGCGGCGGGCGCCGCTGCGGCTCCTGGTCCCACACAAGGGGATTCAGTCCCGAGCTCTGTACGTTCACAGTTCTGGATGCCCGCGACCCTAAGTCGCTACGAAAGAGAAGAGTTATCGGGAGGAACAAACATCCATTCGATGTCTGTTTATCAGAGATTTTTTTCCTGAAAACGCACAGCAGCATTTCATTCAAAAACCCTTCATCCACAGACGCAGGGCCCAGGCCCTTCCTCAGAACATCTCGGCTTGTTCACCTCCTTCATTGCCAGGTGTGGGTTCTTCTCTTTAAAAATGAAACTGCACGCATCCCACGATCATGAAATCAGTCCTGTTCGCTACCAAGGCCGTGCGGGAAGCTCTGTGCCTGACGGGCGGCGCCCTGGAATGATGTCAGTCACCCCGCACCCTGCGCGGGGCAGGAGGGGCTTCGGAATGAACGGAAGTTAAGGGTGTTTCCTTTTTCTGACGACTAACCGTAGACACGCACATCTCCAAGCCTCAGGAAGTTAGTAAACATTTCCCCTGTACTTCTGGCTCTGGTGGTCACTTCCTATGGAGATGCCCCCAAGAGAAATTAGAAACCAAAAAAAATTTCCCAAACAGACCCAGAGGCTTTGCTTCAGGGAACAGACTCAGTGTGTGGTTGCCATTGTGCTTTGAGGACAGGTTTCTAGTTATGTCACAAGGAGATGAATCAAGGTGGTTTCACGAGTGAAGACAGCACCTGGAGCCCCTCCCCGAGCCCGGTGGCGCTGCTCCCCGCTGACGCCCCCGGACACAGAGAGGGACTGGAGCCCCCTGGGCCTCCTGGGCACCCCAACTGCCCGTTGCCGCTGCTTCCCACCCCCTCCTTCCCCGAGGCTCATCCGTCTCCAGATGCCCCGAGAACCCTGGTGCGAATGGGGGGAGAGTCAGCGCAGGCGGGGCCTTCCAGAGTGTCACCATCCCCTGGGGCACCCGGCCCGGGAGACAGGAAACCCCGCCCCCGCCATTTACACCCCGGTCCACCTCATCTCCCCGACATTCAATGCTCTGATCGGAGCTGACACTTTGGTGAAGTAGATCATGTCGCACGGAAACAGAAACCCCAAGCTGGTATAAAAAGGGGGGGTTTGTAAAGGACCAAGGAGACAAAAAAGTGGTTCCGGGCCGGGTGCCTCAGCGGAGAGGAGTTCTCTGGTCGAGAGAGGCCGGAGGGAGAGTTAGCTCAAAGCCCCAGACAGCCTCAGGGTCTGTCAGGAAAAGGGCCTATAAGTAAACATCCCCTGACCCTCCAAGGAAGATGAAGTAGAAAAGCAATTCTCTTTTCGTAAAAAAATGCTGAGTGTTTCCTGAAGTATCTAAATGAAGTTTATAAAATACTCATGAGCTCCTGCAAATATAGAAACGTTGAAAAATCAGATGGTGGGTCTGCCCACCGATTCCACCGAGGTCGGCAGAGACTTTGTGCCGGAATCGAAACGCGGGTGACACGTCCCACTTTCAGGTGCGTGTGGCAGCCGCCGGCCTGCGCAGCCTGGAACGGACCAGCAGGGACGGTGGGAGAGGATGGAAACAAAACGGGAGGCTCGAGGTGAAAAGAGAGCAACGGCCGGGCCGGCCCCCGAGTGCCGCCTGGAAGGGAGCCCCAGGAGCCGCCCCCATGAGCTCACCGCGCCCGCCCGTCAGGGCACGCACAGCCACGGCCTCGGGCCCGCGCTGCTCTAGGACTCGGGCCCGAGGGCAGGAAAGGGACAGCGCGTGTGGGAGCATGGAGCCCGGATGCTGTCACAGCAAACGGGGCGGCGGCTGTGGAGAGGCCTCGTCTCTCCAGAACCTTACGTCCTAGTCCAGCTTCTTACGAAAAGGCTCCGTCCCAGCAGCCGAGTTTTCGGGGCTGAAGTCGGCGCAAAAGCCGTTGGGGGTGGGAGCCGGGGGCGTCTGTGCGCAGCTCTGGGAGTGCGTCTGCTCGGGGTACAGGTATTCCTCAGCGAAGTCAGGGTACGCTTCGGCAAACCTCTCGAAGTCGGCTGGAAAGACAAAGGCACCTTGGTTACCGGCCTGTGGGGGCAAAGGTCTAGAGTCCGGGGTCTCTCCCTGGCGCCCCACTCACACCCTGGGGGCGTCGTGGCATCTACATGGACCCTCGGGAGGCCACGAGAGGCACCGCACCTCAGTTTTCTGTGTGAAGCCCAGGGCGGCTCTCACATCCTTTCGGCTACTCCTGCTTTGGGGAAACTAAAGGGTCAAGTCAGGGATGTATTCTGCGTGCTCACATCCTGGCAGCGGCCTCATACCCCCGAGGCAGGAGCCTCGATGGACACAGCTAGGCCCTGGGGACACCAGGTGCAGAGGGAGTCACCCTGAGCCATCGTGGGGCCTGCGCGGCTGTGTGTCTCCTGGTGGCCCTGGGTCCTGGCGTCGGGGTGGGGAGCACCCTCGGGCTCACGCTGGGGCACCCTGGGGGCTCGGTGAGGCTCAGAGGCCCAGGCCTAGGGCACTGCAAGCTCCAGCGGCTGCAGGGAAACGCGTGCTCCCGCTGGGAGCGGAGCTGCCTCCACGGGGAGTCTGTAGTCGGTCAGGGCTCCGAGCCTCAGCAGTAGCACCCGCTCCCCGGGAGGCGCGGCCCCCTTCAGCGCAGACACGCGCGCACACCCGGACCAATGCGCTGCGGCACCTGCCTGACATTTGGATGCGATTAAAAACACATCCAAACACAACGTGCACAATGACCTTTCCTGAGCAAACGTCTCCTCTTACTTTAGGGAGATTATGGGCTCATCCTCAGATGTGCACGCGGGCCGGCGCGCTGAGCGGGCCGCCTTCTGGGGCTCCTGCTGCCCCCACACCCCCCGGCCTCGGTCCCCAGGCGGGTTCCGGTCCCAGTTCCCGAGGATCTCGGCTGTCCCGCGTTGTGTGGCGACAGGTGACGCAGCCAAAACCCCGGGAGAGGAGATGCCCCAGGAATCGGTCCTGATGGGCCGGGCACGGAGTCCCTCCCCCCACCGGGGACCCTGACCTCAGCCCGGCCGCAGCCCCGGGGATGGTGCCTACTTTACAGCTGGGCTGGGAACGTGCTTCTGTTAATGGCCTGCAGAAGCAAGACTGGAAGCTCCCACCCCAGCCCTGCCAGGTTTCAGGAGAGCCTGGCGAGAGTGCAGGGGGCAGTGCCTCCCCCACCTCGCACTAGGGGCATCCTCCCCAGCTCCCAGCCACTCACCGAACGTGATCCTGCCCTTCTCCTCTTGGTCGATCGCCCGGAAGAGGTCGGTCACGGTCAGTTCAGCCACGCCCAAGGCGGTCTTCAGGATGCTGGACAGGGAGTGCTCGTCTATGCTGCCGTCCTCCTGCGACCCGTACATCTGCAAGGCAGGGGCAGGCGTCACCCCGCGGCCCCGCCAGCCCCGACTATCCAGGGCAGCTGCTTCTCCTCCTTGGCGTTCCCAGCTCTCCGGCCGGCCCAGATAGCACAGGGTCAGAAGGGCCGGAACTCAGCTGCACGACCGAGCCCTCAGGAGCCCTGAGCACCTCGGGCAGGTGGCAGCCGGGAGCCCTCAGCTCCCTGCTCGTGTGTTTATGTTTTTTGGTTTTTTTTTTTGCGGTACGCGGGCCTCTCACTGTTGTGGCCTCTCCCGTTGCGGAGCACAGGCTCCGGACGCGCAGGCTCAGCGGCCATGGCTCACGGGCCCAGCCGCCCCGCGGCATGTGGGATCTTCCCGGACCGGGGCACGAACCCATGTCCCCTGCCTCGGCAGGCGGACTGTCAACCACTGCGCCACCAGGGAAGCCCTGCTCTTGTGTTTTAAATCCACCAAGAAAGGGTGGTATATACTCTGCAACGTGAGGACCTGGCGTTCAGCCTTTGGCTGCGAGGCGCCCACTTCACGGATGCCCACCTGAATGAACACACTGCGGCTGTGAGTCGCGGTGACCAGTGAAACCGCCAGGAAAGGAGCCAGGCCGCCCCGCCGTGAGGTCCCCCTTCCAGAAGGCCCTGGGTGACCCACATAACTGACCACCTCAGGGACCCTGCTTCTCCTCTCCTGTGCCCTAATTCCCACTCTTATGCTTTAAATTCGCCAAGAAAGAGTGAACCCCCAAAACCCTAGGCCCCTACCCTCAACCCTGACAAAGGCAGAGCCCCAGATCCACACTCTCGCCCCGTGACCTGTGACCTCGCTGCCCCCAAGGCGCGCCGTGTGCCCTCCAGGACCTGTGAGTAATAGACCTTTCTTTTCCAAGCTCCCTGATGGCTGTTGCTGAGGGCGTACTGCAGTCACACTGAGAGCCCCAGGGGCCGGTCCAGCCGCAACCCTGGCTACCGACAGGGCGCTGAGACCAGCACACGACTGCATTCCATCCTGCGCCGTGAATTCCTGACGTCCTCCTCCTGCTGCCCCAGTTTGGGAGGAGCGGCCCCTGCCCCCGCCTCCCTACCAGCCTGACCAGGGGCTGCAGGAGAGCTGGGGGCCATCACCGCTGCGCTGTCTGTGGGCTCTCCTCCCCACGCTGGGGGCCCCCTGACCAACCTGCTCCCCAACCCCCCGGACTTCTTGGAGCGTTCACTCTGTCCTCCTGCCTAGAGGTGGGCTTCCCGCGGCGGGATGTCCACATGAGCAGGACACACTGGCCCCGCCGTGGGGATGCCCGGGCGCGGGGCCGTCTGCCTTCCCGGGGGGCCCGTGAGGGGTGGTCACCGCAGGGGAGGTTGCCGTGGAGCAGTGCCGGGACCCACAAGGCGGCACAAGCGGTGCCGTCCTCCCCACAGCCCTCGCACCTGCCCTCAGGTGGGGCCCGGTAGAGCTGCTACAAGGTGCTCATGCGTATGCTCAGCTGTTTCACTGAGCAGCAAGCCGGCCACCTCCCTGCTAGCCCCTGTCGTGGCACCGAGTCCACCGCGAGATGTCAGAGAAGCTGCTGCAGGGCCACCAGATGGGCGTGGCCGAGGCAGCACCGGCACAGGGGCGATGAGCCCAAGGGCAACCCTGGGAGGTGCCCGCCAAGGCCGGAGGAGGGGACAGGCTTTCTGAGACAGGGCGCTACCAAGGACCGCTGCCGTCTGATTAGCCCCCGTGGCCTGGCCCGCAGAAGCTGCCCTGCACCGTGGGGGACTCTCCCAGTCTGCCATGGAGAGGGTCTGCTGGGGTCAGGAGGGAGAGAAGGGGTTCTCCCAGCAGTGAGTGACCGCGGCTTCCTGACCTATACACCATGTTTTCGTGAGTCTGGCTAACGTGAGCTGCACCTGTGAGACACAGACAGGATGTCTCTAGGTGGCAAAGCGAGCCCAGCTCCATCCTAGGGGACTGACCAGGTGAGGCCATGCTTGAGGGCAGCCAGGTGGATCTGCGGGCGGGCCGGGACCCCATAATGGGCCTTCCCCAGACTCACTGCACCCATGGTGAACGGCCCAGCTCTGGGCTACGGTGGGGCAGGCGGCTCCTTAGTCCCGAAGCCCTGCTTTCCTCTGGTCAACACGCTGATGGGGAGGCCGTATTGGGAGACAGAACCCATTGGTCCCGCTCAGGCATCCAGGACTCAGGAAGACCCTTCCCCACACTCTTCTTATGAGTGAGGGCTCTTTAAATTCCAGGGAGAAATAAAGTAGAGGAGGTTTGCGGGCCTCTTTACAAACAACGGCTACAGTACAAGCTTATGTGAGAAGAGCAGGCAGACGGTAAGTTTACCAAAGTCATAAGGGGCTATAAAAGGTCTCACAGGCCTCACGTGGCCCAGGTCTCACCGACCCCACAACTTAAAGGTCACATAAACGCCACACTTACCTTGAACGCCAGCCGGATGGTGTCCAGGGTCTGCGACGGCCGGCAGACGACGGACAAGGCGACCACGTACTCCCGCATGTCCATCTCCCCGCCACCTCTCTGGGAAGAGATGCTTTCAGGAGACAGCCCTGCCCCCTCCCGAGCATGGGTGTGACGTCACAGGCCTTTTGGCAACCCGCTTAAAAAAACCCCAACTACAGGCGTGTTTATCAGCAAACGTTGATTTAAAGCCAAATTTCTATGTGCAGTTGACAGCATCTTTTGGGGAGAAAATACCCCAAAAGACTGGGTGGCTGGCAGGATGGGCAACAAGGGCTGGTCTCCCCTTCTCTGCTTCCAAAATTGTCTGAAGAACATTTCTATCACAAGGGAAACAGCTGCCCCCAAGCCCCCCCAACAAGGCCTTACCTCATCAAAGAGGGCAAACAGGTCCTCCAGCGCCTGGGACTCGGGGACCTCCAGCTGCGCCGCGAACTTGGGCAGAGTCAAGCTCCCGCCCTGCTTCATCCTGGCGCTATCTGCATGTCTGTCCAGATCGCGTTCGAGTTTTTCTGGTTTTAGCCTAAACAAAAAATGAGGGGAACATTATTTTTCAATAAAATTACAAAATGCTGAAAATGGCAGATTTACTGTTATGTATTAAGACCCAACAAAACATTAAAACGATTCATAGACCAAGCAGCAGTCAGTCCTCGAGAAGAGAGGCTCTTCCAGGAGCTTGAAGGCACGAGTGTGCCCTGTGTGAGCGTCCGCACAAGCACTGACACCCCTGTGGGTGTGCGGGCCCTACCCTTGGGCAGGTCCTCAGGGGATGGCGGACGGCGGTGGCGGGTGGGGCGCGTCCATAAAGAGACAGCCAGGGCCGACCATTCAGGGTTTAAGACACTTACTTCTGTGTGGAATTTGAAAAAAAGAGAAAAAAAAAACCCCCAAACCTCAGAAAAAGCACCATTAATTATCTTGATCGCCTGCCACCCGTGACCTCCAGCTCGGTCACCAAGTGCCCAGGCGGAGACCCTGCGGCGGCCTGGTGGGTGTCACAGGCGCCCACAGAAGCACTGCCTCCAACTGGGTGCTCGAGAGAAAGCAGCAGGGAACTCACCCCAGGCCCCTCACCAGCCTGGCAAACTCGAGAAGGCACGTGTCCGCGGGGAGACGAAGCTGGCCTTCCGCCAGGGCCAGCTGGCAGTCCTCAAACGTGTAGTCAGTTACGGAGACGCCCAGGGCCCTGCGGGAGAGGAGGGCACTGCCATCAGCCGGCCCCTCGGGGCAGCAGAGCGAGCGCGCTGGACGCTGAGGTGGGCGGGAAGGTGATGTTTAAAGGCCACGTTCAGGGGGGTCCGCTGGTGGCCTAGTGGTTAGGATTTGCCACTTTCACTGCAGCGGCCCGGGTTCCATCCCTGGTCGGGGAACAACCCTACATGCCTCGAGGTGTGGCCAAAATAGAAACAAACAAACAAATCAATAAATTAAATAAAGACCACGTTCAGCACTAAACATAAAGGCCGAACAGCTGACCCCAAATCTCAATTACGTGGAACCTGGGGCTGCCCCAGCTTCGTGGTTAGCCTCGTATCGCTGTGGTTTCCGCCCACTAGGGAACTAGCACGCATCTAGCGCCTTAAAGAGGACGACGCTGCCCGCAGTGGTGCTCAATTCAGCTCAAGTCATCTTTGCGGGCAGCAGGGGCCGCTGCTATCTGTGCTGGCACCATCCTGAAGTGAGAGGGAGAGTCAGAACCCAGTCATTCCAAGAGCGGCGTCAGATTTCAAGAAAAATGGCCTTCTCCTGACTATCACGGAAAGCGCGTTCATGGTAGGAAATTTACCACATATAGAAAACTGCCCCCCAAGCCCGCCTCCGTCACTGAAAGGGCGTTTACTCATTTCGATGGGACAGTCGGCCCTCCGGATCCGCGGTTCCACATCCAAGGACACGGAGGGCGGCTGCACTAGACTGTCTCACAGAAGGGACTCGAGCATCCTTGGGTTTTGGTCTCCGAGGGTCCTGGAACCAGTCCCCGGCGGGTACTGGGGCACAGCTATAGTTCCTTGTTGCCATGGCAATGCTGTGTGCAGTCAGGTAATAAGGAAACAGCGACTCTGAAGGCTTCTTTCCGAGGCTGCTAAATTCCCCTTAAGAGCACGTAGGCGTGGTCGCGTGGGGACAGACACCAGAAGTGCCCCAGGAGCTCCCGGGCTATCCACAGGAAGGGGGACGGGGCTGGCTCAGGGCCGCCTGCAAAGCTTGTCGGGACCCCGGCCCTTCCCAGGTGCAGCCCCGGTGTGACTAAAGACCAGGGAGGTGACGGCCCACGCCCGTGGTTCTGGCTGTGAGGTAACGGGAGACCCGATGGGTTCTGCCCTTTTCCGCTGAACATGACGTGTCTCTGTTAACACAGATTATAGGACACGCCATAAGAGTTTCTTTAGGATACATATTTAAAATATTTAATAGTTAATTTGTCTGAACACGAACAACAACAACAAAGAATTACACCTAACCTGTCAGGCCTGCGACTCTGTGGGTATTATTTTCTTATCTAGAGGCTGATCAAGGGTGCCACTCACTGCCCTGACTTCCCAAAAGCTGGGAGTTGAGAATCTCCCGCATCCCGGCAGCTCTGTGTCCGCATGTGGGATTCGGAGAAGGGGGGCCTGAGGGGAGCGGGCGCGTTTGGCTGGACTCCACTTCCGGCGCCTAACACTCTGAGGGCGCCTGGGCGGACTGAACGCCTGGCTGAGTTTAATTCACGTGTGCCGAGGTTAAACGCGTGACTTTGCTCAGTGTGTCTCACAGAATGCACTCAAGCGGGGACGACGCATCCGTAGCGAGGAGATGGACTTTGCCTTAGAAACTAAGTCGCACCAGGGCAGCTGTGTGCACCTCCCCACAGGTGACACCGTCCGAGCACCCCTCCAGGCACTGCAGTGGCCGAACTCAGAGGCAGCCCCTGCCCGGGAGAAGAGAGGAGGGGAGGGAGGGGCTGGGACTGAGAGGAAGGGTGAAGGCACCTGGGGTCTGGGCTGAGGCTGCCAGGGCCTGAAACAAGCGGGAACTGCAGGGAAATAGGAGGTGAGAATATTCCTAGCTACACACACACTGTGGTACGAGGAGCGCGAGATTAAGCGCACAAATACCACACTTAGCTCGGCGGGACGGAGGTAGAACCTTAGTAACGCTGTCTGGGTAGATGGCACGTGTCGAGGACGCACCAGCCCAGGCCCCGCTGCCTGTCTCCAAGGGACGCACACGGACGCAGCCCCCACGGGGACTGCTGGCTAATGGGGACGTTTGCAATGTGCAGAATTAAGTGGCAATGAACCATCTTCCAAATGTTGAACAAGCAGAAATGTCCTCCAACAGAATCAGGAGACAATGCATGCAGCCAAGCACACGCTGGCCGACGCTCAGCCTAGGCTGGCTCCAACCGCCTCCCCGACGCCGCTGACTGGTTTTACAGCAAGGCCACGACACTGGCGGACAAGGACACTGGGTAACAAATGCTCAGGGTGGCCAAGGGCACCGGGGCTTCCCGCAGACCCCGCCACCCCGCCGCGGAAGGGGCGCGCACTCACTCTGCCATCACGTGCCGCACGTTGCTGGCGTACAGAGTGGGGTCCTGCTTCTCCTCCTCCGACGGCGTGTACACGGGAAGGAACTGTGCATACAGAGACGCCGGTTACCTGCACGAGCACGAGACACTGCCCTCGCCCCACCACCACCACCACGATGACAACCTGCTCCCGGACAAATCAAGATCTCTGTCAGAGCACCCTCCACTGGAATCGTCTCTGGAGTTGTCACTGCTGCCCATGCACGCACACGTGTGTAAACTCACAACCCACCTTTCCTCAGCAGGAGCACCGCTCCTCCGACACAGAAGCCCGTGAGTCGTGCTTAAGACTTCACACAGGGGCTTCGTCTTTGGAATCAAAAGAATCGCATGTGTGCTTCCACTTCTAAAGTCTCAGTTTTGTGTTGTGGGTAACACGACAAATTATTTCCACGTGAAAGACTATTATTAGCTTTTTGACAACTACTGCATTTGGAGAATATAATAAACTATCCCAGGAACGTGTGTCTCTGCGTGTTTTAAATAAGTACGTCTCAAAGTCTGTGCCAATCCCCCATTGTAGAAAAGGAAAATGACCATCACTGAGCCCTTTTCTTTAGTATGGACATTCAAGAATACAGGGACATCCCCAAATCCTATCAATTCTCATCGTATAATTCTAGTCTCTCACTTACTGCTACCTTTTTAAAAACTTTGTAAGTTGCAACAGTTCCTCATATTAGCACTGGCGTCTTGTAGGAGTGACGCAAAGAAAGAATTTAGAGTGATTTCATAAAGCCATACAGTTTCTTTCCAACTCTTCAAATTACAAACCAGTCTGAAATAGAGCATCTTCCTTGGAGTCTCACCCCGCTGCTGCCTCTCGGCCACCAGCAAACGAGCCAGCCACCCCTGGACTCGGGCCATGGCCCTTCCAGCCCAGTCCTTTATAATTAAGTGGCTTATGTTCTACTGAAGTGAAAAACCTGGCTGAAAGCCGGGCTCATTTGTAAATCCAGTATTACTCTGCAGTATTTATCAGAAGGTAGCAAATGAAATGCTTTAAGTTGTGTAAGACTCCTCTCTCATGTTCAGGTGTAGGACTAGCAGGTTAACTCCCCTTTGAAGAAAATAAACTCTATTCCTCATCCACTCAATTAAATTTACAGGCTGCATGAATGTGACCATACTTATCTGAGTAGAGAGGACAGGTATTGTGACTTTGGAAATGGGCTGAATGCTGGGAGGCAGTCTACCTGGTCTGACCAAGTATTAAACAGGATAACAGTATGATAAGTTTAGCAGTTCGATATCAGCAGTGTCAGTACTGGGTAAAAGTATAAGCCAAAAGAATCAGTAATTGCAGGTATGCCAATCTTACGTGCCCTTAAGCTATGCTAACCATAATAAAAGAATGATGGGCTTAGCTTCCTGTTGATTTTTAAAATCCTATCTGAATGGATAAAAAGTCACGCAAGAGACACAAAGTTGATGCAAACCCCCTGGGAAGCACCTTTAAGGAGCCATGCGAAATGGAAAAAGTTCAAAGCAAGACAGATGACATATAACTTTGTATCTGTACAGACACCAACATGACATTGTATAATATTATATCTACAGAGACCCCTATATATCATTGTATCCATATAACATTATATGTATAGAGACATCAAAATAACATCGTGTAACGCTGTATCTATAGAGACCACAATATAACATTATAACGATACAGGCAGAATAACATTGTATAACACGGCATCTGTATAAACTCCCATACAACATTGTGTAACACTGTATCTATACAAACCTCAATTTCCACTTGATTGTGAAACTGACACAACGTGAGCCACAGGATTTTCAACCTTAAAAATGAATGGATTTTACAGCACTGGTTAAAAGCTTCTCAATTCCTTTTAGTTAAACTACTAGCTCTGGAGCAAAGTCTCCAGACCCCGCTCCCCTGCAGAGGGCACCGCCGAGCAGGCAATTCTCCTTCCGGAGGGGATGCGGAGCCTTCCTCAGCCTAAATCTGAACCTTAAACACACCACTGAGTGACAAGGTTACTTTGATTAAACAGAAGTCTCCACTGAGCTTATTAAACACACGCACACCCGCCTGGCTGTGCCCTGTCTGTCCTCCCGTTCAGGAGGTCTCGTCTACCTGACCCCGGCCCCATCCTGGCTGTCCCAGGCCCTACATCATGCCATCCCCATGCCCAGGCCACCGGGACCCTGAAGGATCCCCTTCCCAGGCACTCCCCAGCTTCCGCCCACTCCGCCCTCCAGCCTCAGCAATGCCCCCCCCCCCCCGGCCGCCAGGTATCCCCCCCCCCCCCCCCCCCGCCACCCACCACTTGGATGCGCCAGGGGCCTCGGAGGGCTCTGCGTGGCCTCACCACCCGGCCCTCCGCCTCTGAACGCCAGCCCACATGCCGGCGCCTGGACCCCCGTACGCCCCCAGCGGCCGCGCGCGAGGAGGCCCCACGCTCCCCTCTCCTCTCCGGGCTGACCATGTGCAGCTGATCGCCGAGCTGACAGACACAGGCGGGAAGAGAAGTTCTCAGTTACCTTCCCGCCAGGGCCGAGGACAATTGACTTCAGCCCTGGAATCCAGGAGTGGGAAGAAGGCCAGCCTCGTGCAGCTAGCCTCCCTGGGCCGAACCAAACTGCTGCCCAGCAGCAGTGGCCCTGCGCTCCGTTTCTGCCTTTGCTAAAGCAAGCAGAACGGCGGTCACTGGAGCGGGCCTGCTTTCCTGGGAGGACAGGACAAACAAGACAGTGCGGGGTCTGACTTACGCTCCAGGGCCTTGCCACGTCCAGGTGATGGTGTCCTGGGGGCAGAAAAGGAGCGATGAGTCAGGAAGGAAGCCCCTCCTCCTTGCCCGCTGGCCTCGCCCCGCCCTCACCCTCGCCCTGGCCGCCTGGGACCCCAGAGGCGCTGTCTTCCCTACCAGCCGCATCCCCTCTGGGGCAGGGGAGAAGGGGGAGCCCACCACCGCAGGTCCCCCCAGACTCGCTCACCTCTCCTCCCACGGCCCCGGGGTCACCCATCCCAGCATCCGCCCAAGACCCCGTCCTGCCCCGCTTCTGCCTCCGCCTTCTCCGGGCGCCCGGGGCAACTTCAGTCCACGCCCGGACCTGCTCTGTGCTCTGCAGGCCCCGCCCTACCCATCACCACCACCTAGCCAGGTGATGCTGTTGGCAGCCCCGTTCCAGCTCCACACCCACTTGAGCCCCCAGGATCCCCGCCTGGACGCTTGGTCAGAGACGCGACCCCGACGGTCAGCCCCGGACAGGGGCAGGGAGCGCAGAACAAAGCCACAGGGCCGCATCTCCCCCACCCCGTGCCTGCCCGGGGTCCCACGGGAACATTTCAGATGCCCTCCATCCTCAGCCACCTAGGTGAGGACCGTGGGTGACACACGTCCCGCTTCTACCCTGACACCGGTCACCCACCAGGGCTTCCTTCTCTCGCAGGCCTGACACCCACCCGCACCCTTATGGCTCCTGGAAACCCACCTGCCACGGGGCATCCCCCACGCAGTCCCCAGCCCAGCCCCCCCCACGCAGGTCTGTGCTCAAACCTTAGCCAGCCGAAGAGCACGTGACACAGACCGTGAGCGCAAGGCGGGGGTCACCGTTCCCCGAAGAGCCCAGCGCCGTGCTTCCAATACGCAGATGCAGCAGACTTAAAAAGGGGAAAATCTAGAATCCTACACACTGGTGATGGAGCCTCATTCTCAGAAGCTGGCTAGCGAACGCACCTCGTCAGAGCTGTAGGAACAGCTGCGTCTGCTGGCCCGTGCGGCTGCCACTTCTGACTGGTGCTCACACACCGGCCCTGTCCACACCCATGGGCACACGGTCAGTGCACTGACCTTGACCCCAGGGCCCTGGCCCGGAAGAGGGAAGGCTGAAAGCCCCTGGTGCTCACAGATGTCACACGGGGGTTACAGGCAGGGCGGCCCAGGAGGAGTGCCCACAGGCACCAGAACCTCGTCCGGGCCCCCCACCCTGCGAGCTGAGCTGGGGCCCGTCAAGATTACCTTTCTGCACCTGGCAGAGGGACCATGGGGGCACTTAGCCTCTTTCCCTCCTGCTTGCCAGCCTCTGGGAATTAAATATTCTCAGTTTTCAAGTGTCCCAGAGTGCGAGCTGGGAGGCAAGAGCCACTGAGGACCCGGGGGTCTCACACCTACATGTCAGGCTCGAGGAAGGGCCAGGGCTTTGTGATCCATGAAAGCGGGACTTGTGAGCTAGTGCTGGGGAATGTTCCAGAGTGCCAGGGTAGATGGAGACAATGTCCTGAGATACCAGGCAATTCTCAGGCCCAGGAAATTCGCTGGACATTCGTGCCAGGAAAACACACTCACCAGTTTGTTTGGGTACCGCAAAACCACTGGCTGGACGGGAACTCCTGGGATAAACGCACCTGCAGAGGGAGAAAGGGACACCTCTTATCTCCCTGGCAGCAAGTCCCCTGCCCATACTTCCCGTGTGGGTCTCAGAACAAAGTGGGCTTCTCTGACAGGCCTTCCCGGTCAGCGGTCATTCAGTGCTGGGCAGGTTACCTCAACATCTGTGCCAGCTGTGGACACTCAGAGAAAACCCCAGGGTCACAGGAAACAGGCGCAAGGGCATCTCCTGGCTGAGGCACTTCGGTGGGAGTGAGGGTCTCCCCTGCCTTCTCAGGGCAGAAAAGAAATAATTAAGAAAACTACTTACCAGGCTTGAAGGTAATTAGGCAGGTCCTGTTGGTACAAGTGCCTTCTGGGAAAATCATTATCTTGAAATGGAAAAAAAAAAAATCAGCATCAAAGGGACAGTTCTGAGTTCACAGGGGCCAATTTCACAACCTATTTCCTCCAGTCCTGATGTGACTTAGGTACTTTATATTCAGTTGAAAAAGTTAAGATGCATATAGAAGCCTTCAGTAATTTCCCTTCTAACTGCTGGTTTGACTAAAACCTGGAAGCAACGCAGGTACGCGAACAGCACGTGCCTCCTTGGGTGGTGGGATATGTGAACAGGTGGCCTTAGCGCCCACCTGCAGCTGCTGTGCGGACGAGATCCCCCTGCCTGGAGCCGGCAGCCACGAGCACAAGGCAGGACGAAGGTGCAGGGATGGAGAGCCCGTGGCTGAGTACGGGGCCTGGGGTGGGGTCGGGGAGAGGCTGGGGCTGGGCCAGCGGCACAAACACCCACAGCATCAGTGGCGGAGTAACGCCTTCCTCGCCAGGACCTCCAGTCACTCCAACTCCTACTGACTTGCAGCAACATAACGTAAGCTAACTTTCCCCTGCGTGGTGGAAAATACAGCCCGCGAGGCTGCTTTCAATCCTGAGCCCCAGAGAAAGATCATCTCCAAGGGGCACCGAGTCAGCGTGGGACCGGCCCCAGCACGCCTGCGGGTCAGGCAGGTGAGCTGAATGGCGGAGGGGCTCAACCTATTCTTGTGTGGATGGCAGCTGGAGGCCCCGGAAGCACAGCCCCCAAAGGGCTGCCCGTCCTCGGGCATGGGTGCCACAGCAAGGCCTTCAGTGTCTTCTGAGCGGCCAGAACCCAGAGTCCTGTGGGACTTCCAGCTTCTCAAGGTCGGCTCGAGTGAAAAGAAAAACTACACATACACAGCATAGGTCAAACGCACCCACAGCTAACACTGGCCGAGGCCCCCGCTGCCCGGCCCGGGGCAGCCTTCCCGATGCCCCGAGGGAACCAGACACACGCCAGACAGGCAAGCCCGGAACTTTTAGAAGCAATGGGGTACACCTTGCAGCCTAAGGCAGTATTCAGACATGAGACCATGCTGACCCCAGGGTCAGGGCAGCCGGCTCTTTCCGACACAGAACTTAAAAGACGATTTGGGAACTTGAGATGCACGTGAGAATTGTTTCCCCCTATTTCTTTTATTTTTAAAACGCCAGAACCCAAACTGCCTGATAGTCGGCACATTCTTGGATTTGCACTGATCGAAAATAAAACGCAACGCAAGGAACCCAGCCTCCGGGGAAAGCAAGCTCTGGCCCTCGTGTTCCCCTCTCCCCTCCAATCCCTAAGGTCGCCTCTAGGAAGGACCGCTGAGAACGCAAGCAGCGCTGCACACCTGCGGCCACTTCCCGCTGGACTGCGCCCTCCTCTTGATCACTTCCACCGTCTTCCTGCGAGAATCCTGGTCCATCCGGGACACGAACACCGGCCGGATGTACTTTATCAGAGCTGAAAGAGAGGGGGGCGGTGCTCGCGTTGCGGTGGCTGCTCACAGCGCCCGGTGAGAGGTGAGCCCCCCAGAGGTGCCCCGAGGGCTGTGCCGTGGCGCGGGCAGGCAGCCAGCCAGCCAGCGCGGACCACGAGGGATCGGGAGCGGGGGGCACTGAGGCTTCAGTGGACTTAGAGGATGGCCAGAAGCCCTGCAAACTGCGGGACCCACAGTGACAACTCCAAGCGTTCTCAGATGACAAATCAGGAGAAAGAGACAGATGGGTCTGACCCCATGGGGAGTGGAGAGCCTTTGGTCACCCGTGTCACTGGTGGGGGGCTGGGGGGGGGAAGTGGGGAGGCCCCAGAGCCAGAAGGGCCTGGGGCACGTGGCTCGGACCCCACCAGCCTCGCTGCGGGCTGAACTGTGTCCCTCAGAGAGACAGGCTGACGTCCTAGCCCAGGTGCCTGGGACTGACTTCGTTTGGAAACAGGGTCTCTGCAGATACAGTCAAGTTCAGATGAGGTCACACTGCACTGGGGTGGGCCCTGATCAGTGACTGGTGTCCCCGTAAGGAGGAGAGAGGGAGAGATCGCCACGTGATGACAGAGGCAAGGACGGGGTGATGTGGCCATGGCCGGGGGAGGCCCAGGAGAGCCGGGACCACTGGAGACCGGAGGGCGGCCTGGGATGGACTCTCCCTTGGGACCAACCTGCCGACACCTGGATTTTGGACGTCTGGCCCCCGGAGCAGTGAGAGAACACACATTGCTTCAGTTTTGAGCTCTGTGGCCTGTGTTGCCTTGTCACGGCTGCCCCAGGACACTCACTCAGACCCCGTTCCAGCACCACACGCACGGCCCCCAGCACGCGTGTGAGGTCAGGGTTCCCTGACCGAAGCTGATGGTGACACCCAGCACACTGGTCCTCTCGAACGAGGATGTAAAGGTGGGAAGATACTTCTTAGAAAACTTTGAACTGACGGCAGGCAGAGGCCGTGCCAGTTGGTCACCCTCCTGGGCCGGTGAGGCCACGTCCCCACCTGCTCTGCCCCAGGGCCACACCTCGCTGGTACCAAGATGAGCTCTGAGCTTCTTTTCTGAGCATTTCTGTTACTTGTAAAGAGTAATATTTCATGACTTACGTCTTGGAGGTCTTCCAAAAAGCAAAGAAAAACCATTTTAAAAAAGAATAAAATTCTATCTAGTTGGGTCCATGGCACTCACAAAATCTAAGGGATCTCAGTGATAGTTTTTCCCATGTCTTGAAACATTTTGCTTCTTCACCAAATTGGAACTCTTTTATCCTTTCGCACCAATTACTCCTGATGCTGCTAAAAAATGACCACGAGAAGGAAAGGGAGGTTCGGTGGAATCACCCAGAAGGATGGGGCGCAGGGAAACAGGTGAGCCCAGCGACCGTCCTGGCCGAGCACAGCACCGCTCCCCAGGGGGCGAGGGGGAAGGAGGCCTGCTCACCTGGCGGGGGGTGGGTTTTACTGGTCAGAGCTACTCTGTCCACACGGCAAAGAGAAGAAAGCGGATGAAGAGGCTTTTCCCAATTCCTGGACGGACGCGAGGCCCAAGGCACGGAACCCGGAGGGCTCTCTGGACTCAGGACGGCAGGGGTCCCCGACTGCGCGTGTCCGTGGGGACCCCACCCGAGTCCCACCCGAGAACTGCATGCTTCTGAGGACAGAAGGGAAATGCAGTCTCTGTCCCGCGAGCCCCGAGCCCGGACAACAAGGGCCCGATGCCTGCTTCGCTGAAAGGCCGCGGGTGGCTCTGTGGTCAAGACATTTGAAGCGGTGGGTAAATGCATGGGACGGGCAGGAAGGAGCCTCCCCTGGAGCCTCCGGAGGGAGCGGGGCCCTGGGGCACCTTGATGGCAGGCTTCTGGTCCCGGAGCTGGGAGAGGACGAATTCCTGTGATTTTAAGCCCTCAGCTTTGGTGACGGGTTACGAGGTCTCAGGACGCTCGTACACCTGGATTTATGGTACAGAAACTAACTCAATGGGACAGTTACTGAGTTGTCCCCAACTTCTAGAGCTTCTGTGTGATGAGGGTGACACGTTCTTGTTAGAACTTCAAGGAGCACTTCAACACCTTATAGCCAAGGGCACTTGCGTGTTAATAAAAAATGAAAATCACAACAATATCACAGAAGAAATCACAGCAAAGAAAACAGGGATGCAAGGCCCAGTGCCTATTTCACGTGGGTATGAGCTGTGTGGGCGTGGCTGTGCTGTCACCGTGACCCGGACTGGCCGGCACTGGGGGTTCACTCCCAGCAGGACGGGGGCTCACTCACTTCCCCATATCGGGATGTCCCTGCTCTCCGCCTTCATCACGATGGAGGACATCGTCATGGTGACGGGGATGGCATCGAAGTAGGAGGAGTGCGGTGCCAGGGTGAGGATGGCGGCCTCGGCGGGCAGCGCCTGCCGCCCCTTCACGGCCACGCGGTGGAAGCCGCCGGCAAACCACATGGTGCGCATGATGGCCTTGAGCAGGACGTCCACGACCCTGCAACAGAAGCACAGCTGTCAGACCCAGGCCTGGCGGGGGACGCAGCCCCATTGCCCACACCCCATCGGGGACTGTGCCAATCCCAGAAGACCTGCCGCCACTGTCACTGAAACATCCGAGGAGGGAAGGGAAGGCGGCTGTGCTTTCTTCCCTCCGACTGTGCACATGGGCAGCAGAACGCTGTCACATCCTTTCACTCAAGAAAACGGAAGCTGTCTCAGCCCCGTTACAGGGACAGCAGCATGTGAGAAGGGAGGCCCACAGGACAAAACGAGAGACACAGACACGTCGGGTGATCTCTCAGCATCCTAAGGATATAAGTTTTAAATGAAAAGAAATCGTCAGCACCTAAAATGCACGCTGAAATGTGGAGAGGCAGCAGAGCTGAGGTCAGGAGCAGAGATGTGCTGGGTAAACCTCACCCTCGCCTCCCACAGGTGGCCTCAGGCTCCGGGATGCAGCTGTTACCTTCCGGAAACCAGCCTTTTCTGGATGAAATTAGATGGACAATAAATTTGGAAAACCGAGTAAAAATCAGGCTAGATTAACTGAATTTGCTTCTTATTTATTCTTTTTTAAACATATGAGAACGTAAGCATGTAAATCTGCACATTCCCTTTCATAGGAATCTCTGACACTACAAACCAGATCACTGTTCACGCCACTGAAACCACGGTGGGCGACGGCCTGGCGGGCAAGTGACTGCAGGCCACGCACCCGAGTCCTTGGGAGAAGGGCCATCTTCAGGAGGACCCGTGTCTCGCTGTGCCGCTGTGCTGCGTGGGTGATCAAATTGGGTAAAAGTCACTGCATGGAAGCACAGGGGCCTAAACCCTTATTGGATTGATTTCCCAAGGGGCTTAACAACCCTCTCAAGAGAATTCCCAAGATAAGCCCTGACAGATCTGAAGCTGCACCGCGTCTGCAAGGAGCCACCTGGAAACGACCTCCTCCGACCACGGGCAGGTCCTGCACAGTCAGTCACCCACGCAATGCGGGGGCCACGCTGGGCGCTGCGTCTAGAGCTAGATGACTACAAAGCACACACTTCCAGTCGCTTGTTCTACTGCACATTTTTAAATACACTTCTCTGCATGCATGTTATTTTTCACAATAAAGTCATTTACAAAAATAAAAGCCAATGGATGTCAGTTGATGCACAAGGAGAAAGAAACAAGACTGCGGGGGAGGCTGCAGTGGGAGCGCAGCCAGTCCCAGGAAGGCAGGTCCAGGAGGAGAGCTGGTGAAAAGGGGGGTCAGATCTCAGCCCCTCCATCGGAGACACACCCACCACCTCTCGGGTCCAAAGGTCAAACAGTGACAGTGATGTACTGGGACAGGAAAAACCAAATCTGATAATTCTCTAAGGTCTTGGAGGAATTCTGTCCCCAAGCTGCCTGTGGGGAAGAGATGCCTATGGGTGTGGGTACCGGCCTCAGAGCAGAGCCCTGGCCACTGCCCAGTGCAGGGCCAGTACCACGGTCCCAAGGCAAGGGCACCAGTGACACCGGAGATGCCAGAGCTTCTCCAGGGGAAGGGAATCGGGAGACAGATCTACGTGCTCAAGGGCAGGGACCTGCACCCCGACTCCATCTGTCATTCATCACACAGGTGGACACCTCAGACTTGGACGTGTGCGCAGAACCACCTACATGATGGATAAGAGGAGTATGACCCTGAGGAGACCTGAGGGCAGACATCGGAAGAGACGTGTAAAAATCCACACGCATCAGGACATTACAGTGCCAGAAGAGAGGGATGCTCTGAAAAGGTCCAGAGGACAAGAAAAAGAAAATACTCTTGGAAATCAAAAGTCTCATGCAGAAATACCGGTTCCCTAGGAAGGCTCAAAAACGTGGAGAAGGGGACCTCCCAGAACATGCAGGAAAAAGAAAAGGACAGAACTATAAGATATAAAGAAAATAGTTTCTCAGAGTTGAAGAAAGACCCAGATCTTCACCACCATCTCAAGGTGCTGAGCAGAATGAATTTTATGAAAAAGACTCATATTATTTCCTTTGAGAAGTTTTCAAATTTCCAACGACAAAGACTTTAAAACCTCTCAGAGAGGAACAAACGGGTTTCTAGCATCAAAGCTGCAGGTGTCAGCAGCGCATCTCCAAAGCTCTGTGGACACACGACGTGAAACCTGCAATTCTATACCCAGTCAAACTACCCACCAACACAGAGGAGAGAATAAAGACATTTCCAGACACAAGATGTGAATGAGTTCCTCCTGCACATCTTCCTTCTGAGAACCCAATACTCCAGAAAATCTTGGAACAAAGACAAAGAAAACAGGCCCAGGAAATGCAGATCATGCCTGAGAGCGCAGCAGAAGAGAAACACACGCCACGCAGCGGTCAGGGTCCCGGACTCTCTGGGAGGAGAATGAATCCCAGGCAGCGGCCGCAGGACTCTGGGGGTGGAGAACTTTGAGGCTACACTCAGGGCTCATTATTCCCTTGGTTAACAGAAAAAATAAAATCGGAAATTCTGTGAAATGGAAAACACAATACAAGAAGTAAAGTTCAGACTCTACTTCACAAAGCAGGCAGATGTGCAGGTGACTTTGAAAAACCGTGTGAGAGAGAAGCACATGGTGATGCTGCCCACCACCATCACCCACCGCGGGGCCCCGCGTGTGCAGAGGTGCAGGCCACCCGGTGCCCCTCGGGGTTGGGGTCCGACCCCGACAGGCCCAGAGCTCATGGCTCCTTCCCCAGGGTGACAGAGGCAACGGGAGAAAAGCCACACACACGTGCGGAGGGCGTCTGCGTGGCGCTGGGAGGAGGGACTGCAGGCCTGCCCTCGGCCACCCACCCTTCCCCACCACTTTGCTGTAACCACCAACTCGCGTTACTCCAACGAAAGTGAGAAACGCCACCAGCATACACGTGGCGACTCAGAGTCGTCACGGAGATGACCCAGGGATGGACGTCCCCACACGGGGCACTCAGGAAAGGGCATCGTCTGCGATGGACCGACTCATGTCACCCCACATTCCTATGCTGAAGCCCTGACCCCCAACATGACTGTATCTGGAGCTTCCCCAGTGAGGTCCCGGGGTGGGACTCTGATCCAGGGGACCGGTGTCCTTACAGGAGAGGAAGAGGTCTCGCCTGCGAGGACGCGGCGTCTGCAGGTGGACGGAGGTCCCGCCACGAGCCGTGGCTGCTGACCCTGACCTCCCACTTCAGCCTCTAAAACCGTGAGAAACGAATCCTGCTGTCTGAGCCCCGCCGTGGTACCCGGTTGTGACGGCTGAGCTGACCCTCCTGAACCCTGAGTCGGCCAAGGGCCAGGGCCTGCAGGACTGGTCGGCAGTGTCTCCTGCCCTGCCTGGTTGGGTTCTGTAAGAAGATAAATACTATAGTTTTTACAACACTCTGTGTTTTGGAACACAGAGTCTTATGCGCAATTGTGTCGTTCCTCCTTTCGTTGAAAACCCAAGATTTTATTTTAGGAAGGTCTGACTGACGTTAACTTATATTCAGCAAAAATCCTCCCTGATCAAAACAAAAATCTGCTCAAAACCGCACAGCTGTGCCTGGCGTGAACCAGCCCACCGCCACAGCTGATGGCGTGACGTCCTCTACTCTGAGTCCTGTTACTTTAAACTTGTTTCCTCCTAACTCCCCGTGCCCCAGACTCAGGACCTTCTGTCACTGTGTTTCCTTTGAGGAGCTCGGGGCCGGGTGTTTGTTCTTGTTTCCATGGAGCCCAGGGCTGTGCACCGAGTTCCCGAGAAACACTGCTGTGTGGAGACCCCGTGGGCTGCAGGGGGTGGGAATTCAATGTGGGCGGCATGTGCAGCTGGGGTACATGCCAGTGCACATATAAACACACACATATGCGCACACACACTTATGCACACACTCACACGTACACAAACACACACGCATATACATACACACATATACACACAGACACGCCCATATACACATATACTCAGGACGATGCTCAGGCTCCGCGTACCTGAGCACCCAGAGCTCCCGTGAACCTTAACCCCACATCTCCCCACGTGGGGCACATCAGGTGTGCACGTCACACACACACGCACACACACACGGTGCCTCTGTGAAGCGAGCGGGCTGTCGGAACTAAAGTTGGCTGTGGCCCATTTATCACCCGATGAGACCAAGTACATTATTGCAGACAAGAAAAGCTACAGGGAGTCAAAACAGGGAAATGGAAACAGCCCAGAGTCACCTGTTTTGAAAAGACAGACGCCGAGGTTGTGCAAGGTTTCCTCCTTCGTGGGAGAGGACGGCGGGGAGGCAGGGGAGCCCAGCCCCAGAACAGAGCGGGGGGAACAGGGAATTAAGACGCTTTTGATCAAATCATTCGTAATTTGTAAAAAACTACAAAATCTCTGCTTTCTAGCTCTGGGTTCTCAACCAAGTGAAAACTGAAATTCTGATTCCTATTTGGTCTGGATTTATTTTGCTTGATTATATATTTGACACCATATTTTACAGTTAAAACATTAAAAAAACCCCCAAATCTCAAGGTAAAGCACGATTTCCAAAGAGATTAGAAAACCCAGCTGTCTATGCACTCGTTCACTCTTTCATTCATTCATTCACTGACCCATTCATTCATTCATTTGGGAGAGACTTTCCTGTCCCTCAGGCCAGGCTCTGTGCTGGGGGCACACCCACGGAGACAGCCATGTCTACCTTCTGGTTTCTAGGGAGGGGGAGAGACCATGGTTCACTTGAAACTGGGGATGGTCTGAGGACGTGAAATATTACCACGAGGAGGGTGAGGGGTCCCCAGGCGCCATGCTCATGTAAGGCTCAGAAAACCCTTGAACCTTAACTGGCCGTCTCTGCCCTGCATGTAACTGCTGCTCTGACCACGGCACGTGGGCAGTGGGGAACCAAGGTCCAGGATGGGCGCCCGTTTCCACAGCCTCTCAGGGCATCAACATTCCAGCAGCTCAGACACTGGGAGAGAAAGGAGGGGCCTGAGCTGGTCCATAAACCTTGCGGGCCGGGCAGCAGGTAGTTTAGGCCTTGGCCACAGTGACCCCTGCCCTCCAGGACAGCAGCCCTGGATGGTGTACAAATGAATGGGCAGGGCTGCACCCCAATAAAACCTCATTCACAAAAACAGGCTGCAGCCCACCACCGGCCCTGCGCTAAACTAAGAACACTTCTGTTCTGAATAAACCGTCCAAGGACCCTTAGGATTGATCGGAGATGCAGACACAGGGGGTGGCCAGCAACTTGGTTTTACGACCGGAACGGTGTCTTCTAACACACTGGAAATACTCACCAAAATCCTTCCCATAGCTCAACGTTTTCCTTCACTAGAAACGGCATGTAGTTTGAGTTAAGGAACAGCTTTAGGTATTTAAATACACAGGAAAGTGCTGTGGTTTCATGTCCTTTTGTGAGGCCCCTGTTGGATCTTCACTTAAGATGGATTCACACGTCCACCTACACGAAGCAGAGGCCACGCCAGCGGCAGCAGGCTGACGTGCGGCCTCGAGGGCAGGGGACAGGGAAGCACGGGACCCCTGTGCTCGGGGCACAGCACAGCGGCCACTCGGCTTGCCGGGCCCTGGAGGGAGCCTCAGGGCAGGATGCTGGCAGGGGGAGCGCGGGCCTGCGACCCCCCAGGGCCCCCACAGACGTGCACTTACCTCCGCCACAAGGCCAGGGGTTGCTCTGGTTCCCGCTCAGCGGATCCCAGCGAGGCCACAAGCGCCAGGGGCCAGGCGAGCAGCATCATGACGGCGGCGACCAGCAGCCGGATGGGGAAGAGTGTCAGCGTCATGGCGGCCACCTGCGGGGACAGGGCACGGTCACGCGCGGGACTGTCCTCTGGGCTCCTCGCGCCGCCCCGGCACCCGCCTCCCGTGGACGCTGCGACCCAGTCCCTCCTACAGCCACCGAGGGGACGCCTGGGGTCGGGGTGCTCTCCTGGCCGACGGCGCTCCGCCCACTCCCAGCACCCCCAGCAGGCAGCCCCGCCCCCGAGCCCCCTCCTCAGCGCGCCCAGCAGCCCCTGCACACAAGGATGCTTTCACGGGGCCACAGGCACAGAGCTGGCAGGACTGGGCTCAGACCACAAGGAAGACGGGGACTTGGGGACTCTCCAACCCCAGGAAGTCACAGACGGGATGGGGGCCCAGCAGGGAGGGAGGGGGGCGTCCAGAGCCACGGGCCTGGTCCGGTGGATACGGGGAAAGCAGGCTAGGGCTCCATGGGGAGGGCAGGCCCTGCGCGTGAGGGGGGACACACGGTGGACGGGCAGCTGTGACTGAGGTACCAGCACTTCTGCATGCAAAGTGATGTTCTGGCTCCACACTGGGGGTGGGGGACTTTCAGGAACAGCGTGTTTTGTGATGAACTTGATCTCAGGCGGTCGATTAGAAAATAGGGGAGCGGAGGGATGACAAGACAAAACTCACGGAGCCTTACAACCAACAGATATGCAGTTTTTGATTATTTGCAAGAAAATACACTTGAAATACGTAGGTTTGGTGCACAGGAGACAGGAAAGACGGGAAGAGACCCAGGTCCGTGGTACCGTGTCCAAGCTGCTCACCACCACCACCCGCCACGCCCGTCTCTGCCACCTGCAGGCCTGCACGCTGACCGTTCCCTGATTCTCTGGGGTCTCCATCAAGGCCAGCGCTGCCGGACAGGAATACAACGCAGGTCACGTGTGGCATTTTACGTTTTCTAGCAGCCATGTTTAAAAACACAAAGGTGATGAGATTAATTCAACACGCAGTTTATTTAACCCAACACGCCTAAAATACCATCATTTCCGCACGTGCGTAGCGCAAGGCGTGGGCGAGCCAGTTCACACTATCCTCATTGCGCCCAGGGAATCCGGTGTGCCCTGTGCCCACAGCACGCCTCAGTCACGCGCGCCACCTCCTAGGCGCCCTACAGCCACGTGTGGGCCCAGATCTCCATGTGCTGTGACGATGGTGACTTTGAACGACCTCTCCCCCCCGCCTTCAGGGGCTGGGGTCCCCTGGCTGAACCTCTGGTTTCAGCACAAGGTGGAACAGGGCCGGTGACCCCGGCTCTGTCGTGGCCGCCACTGGTGACAATGCTTCCTGTTAAATGGTGTGGGGGGGGGGTCAGACAGAGCAGGGATGTGCTGGCGGGAACGTGCCTCCCACCCCGGGTTTTCTACGCGTCTTGTTTTGGGGTCAGCGTGAACGGGGTGAATGTCACCACAAGTCTTCCCTGCGGGATAATTACGTGCTCATCTGTCACCCTGTCCACGTGACCCACGGCAGTCACGGCTTCTCTGGTGTCACAACCTCGGTTCCGGCGCTGGGAAGCCACCTCTCTTAAGGCCTCGCCAGGTTTGTTTGCCAACACGCGTCTGGAAGGCGAGCCTGGCCACGTCCTCCGCACCGCCGTCCTCGGGTCCTGCGGTCACCACGCCAGACACCAGCCCACCTCGTCGGAGGAATTCCTACGGAGCTTCCTGATGGCTGTTCCAATGCTTTTCATTGTTTATCTAGATTTCCTATTTTCTGGAGTTATTTGTGTTTCTGTCAGGGAGGAAATCTCTGGGCGTCCTCAGCAGGCTTCTCCTCCCACCCGATTCCCCATGGTGCGTTTTCAGGATAATCGTGAGAACCGCTGCCCTGATCTACAGCATCGTTGTTCATAGCGTTTGTGCTTCTGAGACCCTTCGGCCCGTGCTGACAGACAGCCCTCCCCTTCGCTAATCTGTTTACAGAACCACTTGTGCATTTGTTCCTTATCTCTGCTGTGACCTATTCAGTCGCATTAATTTTGTATCTTACAGGGGCCTCTCTCTTCCACTCTGAGTGTACCCTAATGTTCTTTCTAACTTCTTGAGGGAAGAGCCTGGAGCATATTTTCAGAAATACCTTATTTCCCCCAAATTCACATGGAGAAGGCAGCTTTCTCTAAGGACTTTAATTCAATCCCACAGGTTTTAAAATGTAGCCTTTCCTTCATTTCAAAACATATCCTCTTCCATCCTTGCTGTTGTAACTTTGCTGCAGAGGAAGGGCAGAGACACCCCAGCTCCTCGCTGGCGGGGCGCTGCCTCTCGGTCTGCCTGTCACCTCGACGGCCCAGAACTCCGGCTCCGGGGGCTGTGCTGGGAGCCCCGCGTACCCGCTCGTCCTATGAGCCGTGGCCGCTGCTCCTCCAGGTTGCAGGGCAGCTGAGTCACTGGATACTTTGCGGTGTGTCCCCATAAATGGACCCTGAAGCCGGTGCCCGTGCCATAGACAGAATGAACAGGCAGCAAAGCACCAGACAGGAGCTCCGGGGCCAGCATGCTCAGAGCACTCATAGGTCGCGGACACGCCCCGGCTGTGCAGCCACATTCCATGGCCAGGACGGCTGCTACTGCAGGTAACAGAAGAGAACAACAGATCTCAGGGCTCCAGAAAGAGCACCCAGTTTCCCCACGGCTTCTGAGGCCCCGGGGAGGCAGCACCCCAGTCTGTCCGGACCAACTGGGGTGATGACGAGGCTTGAAGGGGTGACCCTGGAGTCGGGGCAAGTGCCACGGTTCAAATTGCTGGTTGATGAGCGGATGACGTCCCGCAAGCTGGCTCACCGGCCACTCCCCGTGGACAAGACGTGTGACCACATTTGCCTCTGAGAGGATGCATCTCTGTGCCCGCTCTGTGTGCATCGGGGAGACGGTCCTGGTGTCTGAGTTTTGCAGCCAGTGGGGAAAGGACGTGTGAGTGACCACACAGCCTCGACCCTCAGCAAACAGGCAGGCCTCCCACAGACGAGATGGGCAGGTACCAACGGAATGCAGCCTGAGCCATGGACCCGCCCCGGCCCTGCCGGGGCCGGGGTCGGGGGGCAGGGTGGGCAGGAAGCACGCGGGGGCCATGGAAATTGCTTGGAGGAGGCG